AAAAAAGAGAGAGATCGCCACACCACCTGGCAAGCAACTCTTTTTCCAGGTGAGTGTGTAATTCATCTGAGTGGATTTCAGAGTCTTGCTTGCATAGTAGATGGAGTGAAAGACTTTGTTTCTCCTTTGCCCCAAACATCAGTCTCAATAGCCAAGTCACTCACGTCGCACAACAACTCAAATGGTTGCTCCCAATCCGGAGCAATGATGATTGGTGCAGTCACCAACTTGCTTTCAGCTCCTTGAATGCTTCAGACAAGCATCTCAAATTTAAAGGCGACATCCTTCTCAAGTAACCTGCACAAGGGAGAGGAACATTTTCGAGATACTCTTATAATGAAAGACGTAAATAAAAACCTGCATGGCCCAGAAGAACTATGAATCGCCTTTGGACAGATATCGTAGAGGCAATTTTTCAATCGCTTCCACCTTTGCCTTTCCACCTGCAAACCATCTTTGGACACCTTGTGCCCAAAAACTATGCCTCTCGCGTACCAATAAATGCATTTTTCCCCAGTTTAGCACCAAGTTAGTCTCTTCACACCTTAGCAGCACTTTATAAGATTCATCAAGCATGTTATCAAAAAGAGCATCCAACACAGAAAAATTCATCCATGGATACTTCACAAACCTCTCGACCATGTCAGTAAAAATGGCCAGTCATAACGAGCATTTGAAAAAGTCGCAGGTGCATTACAAAGACCAAAGGGCATTCTCTTGAACGCGTTATGTCCCATAAAGGACACGTACAAAATGGTCTTCTCTTGGTCCTCTAGGGCTATAGAAATATGATTATACCAGAAATAACCATGCCAAAGAAGCAGTAGTACTCCTGACAGCTAATCTATCAAGCATTTGGTCAATGAAAGGGGAGGGGGAAGTGGTCCTTCCGGGTGGCATTGTTCAATTTTCTTTATGGTCAATGCAAATTCTCCACCCGGTGACAGTTCTTGTAGGGATGTTAGTGCATTATTCTCATTAACTACTTCACAATCATCCCCCCTTTCTTGGGTACACATTGGACTGGGACTTACCCATTTATGCTGAGATAGGAAATACAATACCTGCATGCAAGCCACTCAATCACTTCTTTTCTTACCACCTCTTTCATGATTGGATTGATTCGTCGTTTGTTGCTCTCACTGGGCTTGTGTCCGTCCTCCATTGAGGATTTTGTGCACATGCAAAAGGCTGGACTAATGCCCTTTTATGTCAGACTCCGTCCATCCAATTGCTTCGCTTGTGTTCACGTAGCACTCTCAATCAGCTTTTCTTCTGCAATTTAGACAAGTCAGAGGAAACAATAACAGGTAAAGTGTCAAAGTCTCCCAAATAAGCATATTGCAGGTGAGATGGGAGAGGTTTAAGCTCCAAGTTCGGGGCTTCCTCAATTGACGGCTTTGGAGGAGGTCCCTCTGGCCTGTTCAAGGGTTCAAATGGGTGTGATCCCCTGCATGTTAGCACAAGATGTTCAAAATGTGCTTCATCTCCTCGACCTCTTCATCATTCCCAGGATATCGAACAACATAAAGTGCTGCTTCTCTAGAGAATCGTCTAGATATACACTTGGATCACGAATTTGCTCATCAGCCTCAACAACAGATATCATGGGAAAGCTCCTCATAGTGACGGGAAGTTTGGATTGCTTTGTAGACATTGAAAAACTGCTTCCTCGTCATCTACCCTCAAGATCATCTTTCCCTCTCTCACTTTGATAATTGCGTCACCAGTAGCCAAGAGAGGTCGCCCAAATATGATTGGGACCAGTTCATCAGCCTCAACATAACGAGGATAATGAAATCAGCAGGGAAGAATAAATTTCCCAATTTGCAGCAACACATCTTCAATCACACCATCATGGTGTGCTATCGATCTGTCAGCCAGCTGCAACATCACAGTAGTTGGCCTTGGAGTCCAGACCCATTGCCTGAACAACGATAGGGGCATCAAATTTATGCTTGCCCCCAAATCACAGAAGAGCAAGACCCACATCAATATTACCAATGCGCACAGGAATCGTAAAGCTGCCAGGATCTTTTAGCTTTTGAGGGAGCTTAATTTTTGGACCCTTAGAAGTGCACTCCTCAGTAAGTGCAAACTGTCTCAATTCAGTTAATCTTTTCTCTTGTGAGCCACTATATTCTTTTCTGTAACTTAGCATACTTTGGATTTCACGAAGCACATCAACAAGTGGAATATTCAATTGCACTTGGCTCAACATGGAGAGAAAATTTGCTGAAACATGCGATCATCATTCTTTTTCTGCAATCTTTGGGGAAAAGGTGGTGGTGGCCTTGGGGCCTCCCTGGCTCTTGGAATTTCAGCAAGTCTCTCTGGCTCGTTTGTCACTTTAGGGATCAACTCCCTCAGGTAGGACTTATGTTTCTTTTTCTTTGGCACTTCCTCAAGGCTCCCTCCGTTTCTAAGTGTAACTGCATTCACTTGCGGATTCTTTTCTGTGTCACTGGGGAGAGCGCCTACAGGTTTAGTATTTTGATTTGTTGCTACACATGCCCCATCTGCCCTCAAGATTTTTGAAGTCGGTCCTGAGCTGCTGAATTGTCAGTCAACAACTTCTTTAGTAAATCATTTGTGCTCTCTTCCATTTGTTTGGGGTGGTCTCTGAGGCTGATGGAAACCCCCCTGGGGTCTATACTGATTCTGATTCTGCTGATTTCACCCCATGAGAAGTTGGGATGATTCCTCCAATTTGGATTGTAAGTATTCCGTATTGTTGCTGCTGGTTCGGGGACCCCGTTTTTTGTGCCCACATAATAGATGGATTCTGGATTCGTGGGACATTCACTCATTATGACTGTCGCTACACAGTTCGCAGCAAATAGTCATCTGTTGTACTGTTGCATTGGTTGTGGCTGTTGCATTGTTATCCTAGTCCATCTGATTGGCCAGCTTTGCAATTCCGGCTCTCATTGCTGACACCGGCGTCGAGCTCAGTAACCCATCTGATTTTTGCTTAACTGCCTTTCGTGAGTCACCATCACCTTGCCAGTTATTATCATTAGCAGTGAAAGTATTCAGCAAGAGTTGGATTTCACTGTACAGTTTGGCCCATGCAGCTACCACCCCACAAGCTGAATTAGATTTATCTTTGAAGCATCATCTAGCCCAGATACAAAAGCGTGCACCAACCTCATCCGTCCTGGCAATGGTGAGGAACATCTCTGAGCAACTTCTTGTACTTTCCATCTTGACGAAGTGTCCTCGCTAGCTTGTTGTTCGAACCAAGAATTTGACTCCTCAACATCTTTGTTTTCTTGGTGGGGGAAAAACTTGATTAAGAATTTCCTTGCCAAATCATCCCAAGTGCGGATTGAATTAGCTGGCTCCTTATTCAACCACTCCTTAGCTTCCCCGAGCACAGAAAAGGGGAAAAGTGTCAGCCTGACATAGTCCTTGGAAACATTCGGATAGTTGTAAGTATTCGTAATTTTTAGAAAATTCTGAATATGCCTCTGCGGGTCTTCATGAGGTAGGCCCACAAATTGCCCTGTGGACTGGATCAGCTGCACCATGTATTGTTTCAGCTCAAAGTGCCCAGTGATATCAGGCTTCACGATAGCCTGAGTCATATTAGCCAGACTGGGCCTTGCAGCTTCAATCACCGCGCGTTCCTCATTACCCGCTATCTCAATTGGCTGTGGTTGAACTACCATGTCCAACTCTCTTTCAATTTTGGTTCTGGCGTCCACCTCCCTCCTCAATCTATGAAGTGTTCGTTCAATTTCGGGATCGAGAGGAAGGAGATTGTTTGCGCTTCTACTTCTTCGCATTCAATAGAAAATCCTGTATTAACAAAATCAAAGTGAACTAAAGGTTAAAACTCGAATAAATAAATAATAAAAGCTCAATTCAGTCAAGTAGCTAATTTCTAAGTCTCCGGCAACGGCGCCAAAAACTTTTTGCGGCCAAAACACTCACGCAAGTGCACGTGATCGTCAAGTAATAGAGTAGTGAGTAGAGTATCGTTCCCACGAAGACTTATGATTAACTGTTGACTGATTCAAACCCAATTACTTTATCTATCCAAGATGTTTTTTCACAAAATCGAGATGTACTTGTTGTACTACCTAACTATCAAGAAATAATCTAACAAGAGCAATTAACCAAACGAATAGCAAGTTCAATTAACAAACAATAGGAGAAGATATTCCAGGGTCACGGGCTAGTTAACAATCGTGTTGTGTTCTTGGCTTAAAACGACTAATTGATTTATCTGGATTGTTGATTGACATGGTTTATATTACTCATAAGAATCTGTCGAGTTCTTACTCGCCTATTCAAGCTAACTCAATGCCTATATGTCTATGGAATTAAGATTAACAAGAACGCATTTAAATTCCTGTATTCCAACCAAGCAGGGCAATTGGGTATATGTCTATCCCAATTGCGAATCCATTCCCCGAGGCCCGGGTTCAAGAACCTGCTCTATTTAATTCTATATGCAATCTAGAATTCCCACTTTCGAGTTCAACTCTAGATTCGTAGATAGTATTTCACTGTTAGATACTCAGCAAAATAATTAAAAGCAGAATTAAATAAACAATCCAATTTGATAAACCAACTTCGTCGAATTAAACGTCAAACAACAACTTTCATGTTTCACCTATGACCCCAGAATAATGCGTTTTAGCTACTCATAACAACGTAAAGATAATCTATGAAAATATTCATCATGGAGAATTGCAAGAAAAAGAAGAAATAAAGAACTCTGATGTTTTTGGGTGATCTCTCACACTTGTGTTTCTTGCCCAAGAACTCTCCAAAACAAATCTGCCCTAATATGGCCGAATTCCTACTTTTTATAAGGGTTTTACACCAAGTTTTTCCGACTTGACACTTTCGTCCCTGGCTTTTTCGCGTTCTGCCGCGGTCCCACCGCGGTTACGCCAGGACCGCGGCCAAATAGGTCCTCTGAATCTGCAGCTCTGCTCTGCCGCGGTCCTACCGCGATTACGGTCTAACCGCGGCAGGCCAAGTTTAGCTCTGCTTTTGTCTCTTCACTTGGTGCATTTCGTGGGCATTGTTTGATTGGCCTCCTTTTCTCCGTAATTGATCCCAAACTTGCTCCATCGACTTCATTAGTTGGATATAGCCTGCAAAGCATGAAAAGCACTAATCAGAGCATTTGGTTATCACTTTTTACCACAAAGCTATACAAAAATGTGGTTCTTTTAGGGTCCAATTATAGTATAATTCACCTATTATCAATACTGAGAAAGTACAACATGAAGCTCAACCCGGAGAAATGTGCATTCGGGGTCGGTCCAGGCAAGTTCATCGGCTTTATGGTATCAAATCGGGGAATCGAAATCAACCCCGATAAAATCAAGGTAATCGAAGACATCACAGTTGTTGATAATGTCAAGGTTGTACAAAGGTTGACAGGGCGCATAGCCGCCCTGGGTCGATTTTATTTCGAGGTCCTCAAATAGGAGCCACTAGTTCTTCTCACTATTTAAGAAGAAGAGCAATTTCGCATGGACCCCAGAATGTCAATAGGCCTTGGAGGAACTCAAACGATACATGTCGAGCCCGCCACTGCTTCACACCCCAAAACAGATGAGCGACTTTACTTACACTTAGCAGTCTTGGAGATAGCGGTAAGTGGGGTCTTAGTTCGAGAAGAGCAAGGTACGCAATTTCCTGTTTACTATGTTAGTCGGACCCTAGGTGAAGCCGAGACCCGATACCCATACTTAGAAAAATTAGCGCTTGGTTTAATAAGCGCCTCTAGGAAATTAAAACCATATTTCCAATATCACCCAATTTGTGTTGTAACCACCTATCCCCTTCGCAATATTTCGCACAAGCCCGAACTCTCGGGTCGATTAGCCGAATGGGCCATCGAGATCAGCGGGTACGATATCGATTATCGACCCTGAATGACAATCAACTGTCAAATCTTGGCAGACTTCGTGGCCGACTTTACGCCATCCTCGTACCTGAGGTCGAAAGGAACTATTATTAAAATTGGGTACATCATCGAGAGTGCGGACCATCTTCACAGAAGGCGCTTCGAACGTGAAGGGGTCCGCGCTAGGCATCATTTTGAAGCCACCCACGGGTAATACAATTAGATAGTCTATCAAAACTTCGAAATTGACTAACAATGAGGCCGAGTATGAGGCCATGATTGCAGGTCTCGAGCTAGCTAAGAGCTTGGGAGCGGAGGTCATCGAAGCCAAGTGCGACTCCCGACTTGTGGTAAATCACGTCAACAAAACTTTCGAGGTTCGAGAAGATCGAATACAGAGGTACTTAGACAAACTACAAGTATCTCTACATCTATTTAATGAATGGACATTACAAGACGTACCTCGAGAACAAAATAGTGAGGCCGATGCCCTTGCAAATTTGGGGTCGTCGATTGAAGACGATGAACTTAGCTCGAGGACTGTCATACAACTTTCAAGGTCAGTAATTGAAGAAGGACATGTCCAAATAAACTCCACAAGTTTAACCTGGGATTGGAGGAACAAGTACATCGAATACCTAAAGAATAGGAAACTTCTATCGGATCCTAAAGAATCAAGGACCCTATACACGAAGGCCGCATGGTTCACATTGGCAGAGGATGGAACACTGTATAGGAGAACGTTCGATGGACCGTAGCAAAATGTTTGAGACCAGGAGACACCGACTACGTTCTACGGGAAATTCACGAGGGCACTTGCGAAAAATCATTCCGGTGCCGAGTCGTTGGTTCATAAAGTCATCATAGCAGGATACTATTGGGCTGATATGGAAAAGGACACGAGAATTTGTTCGAAAGTGCGACAAATGTCAAAGGTATGCGCCGATGATCCACCATCCTGGAGAGAAACTCCACTCAGTCCTATCCCCATGGCAGTTCATAAAATGGGGGATGGATATCTTCGGCCCTCTACCATCGGCCCCAGGTAAGGCTAAATTCATTTTGTTTATGACTGACTATTTGTCTAATTGGGTTGAACCACAAGCCTTCGAGAAAGTCAGAGAAAAAGAAGTCATAGACTTCATCCGGGACCATATTATATGCTGATTCGGAATGCCTGCCGAGATCGTATGTGACAATGGAAAGCAATTCGTCGGCAGCAAAGTGACAAAGTTTTTCGAAGACCACAAAAAGGATCCTATCAATGTCGTATCATCCTAGTGGGA